AAGACGCAGGTGGTTTCGCATCTTTTTTATTGTCTAAATTGAACTCAGGTGACTTCAGAAAATGTCGAAAATATCAACGACTTCAATGAAAAGGGTTTGGGTGAGCGTGGATGTTAATATTCTTCTGACGCATCCACACCCACCAACACCCACACCCACAGACCCACACACCCACACCCACACACCCACACCCTACATCATTCATATGCACTATAATCTTGTATCTCGAGCATAAAAAACTGAAGTTATTTCAATTCACGTTTCAAAAGTTTCCTATATATTGAAAGGTTAAATCGTTCCAGTTTCCTCGGTACCGCTGAAATCTAATCAAAACCCATATTAATGTAAATATATATCTCAAATGCAGAATGATTGATGTATATTTGAAAGGTTTGTTGGTCCATTTTTGATCTTATTGATTTTGTCGATTCGAATATATTTAAAGCTCTTCATTAGTTTTTTTCAATAATTTATTCCACTCGTCTGTTTTTTCTTCTGTGACAATATTTATTTGTGTATTTGTAGCTATAATAAGTTATTTTTCTTCACAGTATTGCATATCTTTTATGTAACTGTTAGATGAGATAAAAATCATTTAGCATGGTTGACACTGATATTATGTTTAATTCGTATGAGTATGTTCTTTTCTTTATATTTTGTGATCAAAGAAAATGCAAAGATAATTTATCTATTAGATCAACTCGATATTCATAACCTTATACCAATTGATCAAGCGAGATCTGTTGTGGAAAATTCTAGTTTTCATAGTATACTCCGCAAATTCCAGTGGTAATGGCAGAGTTAGAAATTGGTGGAGCCTTCCTATCACAGAAGTGAATGCAGGTATGGTTAAAAAGGAACAAATCAACACCCAAACACTCAAGAAAATACGGCTACGATACATAAGTGCAGAGTAGAGTTAGAGTAATATGAGCATAGAGTCGGTTGACATTAGAACAAGAGAAATTCCATAGAGTGAGGTATGGATATTTAAAAAGCTTAGCTTGCACATATCTACTGCATGGTGATCATGCATTATTAATATGTTTATATTTGACATAGAATTTGTTTGGAAAACCAGTTTTATAGTGAAAATAAGACTTGGAAAATGCTTTATATTTTCAACTAAAATAAGTCATTTTGGAGGAATAACGCCTCTAAATTGAAGTATTACTTTTAATGAATTGGCTTTTGCTAATAATTTAAAATTATTTCTCGGTCTCTAATAACATTAGCTTGACTTAATCTTAATTCATACATTTCCTTACGAATTTTTGCTTCAATTAAAACGTAAATGATAAACAGTTGCAGTTCATCGTTGTTTGTAGAGTATGAATAACATCAGCATTTCATGCACCAACACTATTTTACATTTGTTCTTCACGAAGAAACTGTTGAACATATTCGATGATATCTTCATCTAATGAAACTATAACATTATAGACATCTCAGATTTATTCTTCTTCATTTCGCAAACTAGTGTGATGAGGCACTTTCATTTAGATAAGTCAGATGTGTTTTATATTCTTAAGTTATATGAACTATCATTGGTTGTATCATTCAAATTATTTGAACATGCCTATCTCAAAGTCGAAGATTTAAAAACAGATATATCAATCCATTAGCTTACAAAAAGAAATGTTTTAATAGAGAAAAAACGGATGTTCAGTTACAAGTAATTTAATATGTATTATACGCCAAAAATATTGATATCTGAACGTAAGAAAAAAAAAACTTGAAATGATTCCTGAGATCGATTAATTCTACCTATTATCATACTAATTTCAATCTCTTTATTCTTCCTTTCCTATTCCATGCGTTTCTTTATCAACGTTTTCTCCTTTACAAAATAATATATAGATACATATATCTGACATGAATAATTGATTTCTTAAGACTTATGTGTGCTTACACGAGTCTTGAAGCGTGACATTCTTGTAAGATAGGAAGTGAGTTGGGTAAAAATACGATTGTCATTACGCATATTCTTTTTTTATTATGGTTTTACTCGACTCTTGTAGTTTTTTTACTTTGTAATGTGTTTTGTGTCGTTATCATGAGATCATGTTTAGTAAAATTACGAAATATAAATGCATTACACTACAATTTCGAAGTTTCATTTTCATAGAGAAAAATAGGTCAACCATTCCTTCGTTCATAATGTGAGATAAGCTGACAGTCAATTGGATTTTTTAACGAAACGAATGGTTTGTTGGTTTCTCTCACTGACAACGAAGAGTCTGCCAAATGCAAATCAACAAGTTCAATCAAAAATGAACTTTTGTTTCATTCCTGATTCGAAAATTTTTTTTCAATGACAAAGAAAGATTGTAAGCTTGGTAGTGAGATTGAGAAGCATTAGGAACGAATCGGAAATAATCCATATCAAATGGTACAAAATTAAGTGAAAAGAATGAGAATTGAATAAAAACTATAACAAAACTTGTTTGACTGAGTTTTTCAAGAGAGAAAAATACGATTTACATCTGTCATGATTTCATTTAGTCGTGCCGTCACCACGTATCAGTTTCAGAAAAGTACTTCAAACAACATACTGCTTATTATGGATTAACTCAACTGATGTATTGAGAATGTGAGTTAGTCTATACGAAGCAAAACGCCAATGTAGAAGACACGAAAAATATATGCTGTGACAAAATGGAAGAGTTACTTTATTGATATCCTCCATAATGATCTTGATTCAGATACTTCATCACTTCAGATAAAAATATAAACAAATTTTATTTTTCTCTTCTTTTAGTGTTTGTCATACTTCCATAGTGAAACGGCAAATAAGACGGTAATAGTAATAGCTAGATAAGGATTGAATCCTTTTTCCGTCTCACTTATCACCATCTTGTTTTTCGTGAAATTTTATTTCTTTTCTATTTATCATAGTTTGGACGGCCAGATTGAATTTTTTTTTCCATTTGGTGCTGTGTTTTATATGATATTAGTGTTCTTGGTTGAGCACAGTCACATCGACAATGTCAAGCGTAAACTATCGTCATGATGCACAAACACTTTTCACAAGTTTTATAGACGATATTATTCTATAAATAGACTATTAAAAAAGTATTCATGATGTTTGAAAAATACATATTCTCAGTATTTAAACTATGTTTGTTTTGTTCCGAAGCCTTCAATTGCAACGTTCCTTCATCACTGACGTGCTTTATAAGACTTAGTCTTAATGATAGTGTATGAGAGAGCCTTTCAATCACTAGTCTATGAACATAAAGGATAATATAAGAGTGAAAAACCTCTCACATTGTTAATATTAATATGATACTGTTTTAGAGATTCACTCATTCCATCTCTTCAAATATTTGAAAAGTTTTGTAAATCTTGTAATCTGAAATTCTATTGCTTTAGCCTTCTTTCGTTATTCTAAGTTAATTTTCAAGACACACGACATTGAAAGTTCCATAATCTGCAGTAATTATGTTATTTAATGTTTAATTTATAATATTTTTCGAGATATCCGAACTTGTCATCGAACTACAACGTAGCAATTTTTATTTCAGTTTTCATAGTTTGTCGATGATATCCGATAAATGGTTTCTTTTTTTTCTTATTTATTTGATCTCTACTGAAATTCTAGGCATTCACTCTTTTCTACATTAACATGCACGATCTATCATAAGTTTGAGACGCAAAACTAGTGTGACGTAGAGTCAATCATATCTGATTCCAAAAGTCTATGAAAAGATAATGATCAATGGAAAACAAAAACCCAGATTATTCATCAGGTGTTGATGTTAATGTATCGTCAACGTTGATATGAGGCTCTGGTGGTTTCCAATCTGGCGTACGGTCAGGCGGTGGCATATAATCACCCCCTGTCAGAAAAGAAATTTTAAGAAATTTGTTATCGGGTAAAGCGATCTAAAATATTAACATGAAACAAGTGATTGATACCATATTGAATAATTTGGTTTTTTTTACTTTGAAATCATGAATCGTGCCACAGGCTGGAATGTGACGAACACGCACTGGTTTCAGCTCAAAATTAGCCGGAATTGATGGATGCTTTTTTCGAACTTCGCTATCAATAGAATTCTTATACTAAAAAAATTTGATTTATCAATAAAAATTTATAAAATAAATGAATATATTGATTTACCTTGTTGAACATTTCCAAGTCTTTCTCCATTACTGACGTATAAGCAAATCGAGGATCAGCCATATTGATTTTGTGAAACACGATCTGGAAGGAGTGTTGAAGTGTATAGGGTAGAAATTTTGGACCCACTCCCCTCCCTCCCCCCCCCCCCCCCCCACAGACCGTGACAGAGAACCTCTGGACCCATCACAGACCGTGACAGAGAAACCTCAGTACCCATCACAGACCGTGACAGAGACACCCCAGTACCCATCATAGACCGTGACAGAAAAACCCCAATACCCATCACAGACCGTGACAGAAAAACCCCAATACCCAGCACGGACCGTGACAGAGAAAACCCAATATCCATTACAGAAACAGATAGACCTGTTCTCGTATGAAGTACGATTAAATGTCGCTAGAATTTCATGGAAATATGTCAACTGCTTCCTTTTTGCAGCTCCAGAGGAATTGATAAACAATGATTTATTAGCGGATCGGAAGATATCCAAGAAAATATATTCGTGTGACTATAGTCCAATCAACCAAAAGTCGGAGTTGAAAGTTTATTTTTTTAATTTTATGATATATGTGTTGTCTTGTTTTTATATACTATAGATTGATATG